TTTCAAAGTTGTTCGCATTTCCCTGACATCCGGAGTAGATGAACTCCTCACAGTTGCCCGTTTTCGCGTTAAACCACCATCGGTTCGAGTAAGTCCCACAGTTACCCTGCAATGCACATTGCAACAATGACCTGTGGAAAAGCTCGCAAATAATGCCCGACCGGCACGTGCACACGAACCTGCTCACGCGGAAGTTTGCACACGTACTGCGGACGTGGACAGCAAACACCACCGAAGGTGGTTGAGCCTAAAGATTTGCCATTGACTTCATAAAGAGTGTATGGGAACAACTCGAAGCCTTTTCTGCTTCACCGTACACCTTAGTCAAAACACAATCTATTCTGTAATTATAGAATTTTCTGCATTTTGAATTGGGAGCAAAATTCCCTATCTAACAACAACGACGAGTACAGCAGAATCAACTCCAAAATGAACCTGAGGTACTTTCGCACGAATGTGTAGATGGACAAGAATTTGCTCCACTTCCAGTTGGAGAACATTCCATATTTCTTTCGCCGGACGAATCCTTAAGTGGCTCTCCAGCCGAACAAAGAACTGAAATCATATGCTGACTAAATAAGGACTTTACGGAAGACACCATTTAAATACTGAAGTCCTACGTATACAGCTCCAGAAACTTACTTCTAGAGCAGAACTTCTCACAATGATCTTGAGAAAGGAAGTTGTTGAAATTTCCTCCCTGACCGAGATACTGAAAATAAAACATCAGCCTAATGCTTGGCTTTTTCAAACACTAGCACGTTGCAAACATTGAACAATATTTCTATGCAATTACTAAAAAATTGACAATCATTTAGAGTTTGAACAGCATTCAAAATGTAATAAAGATTAAAGTGATTATAGTGATCTGAGCATAAGCGGCTACAGCTGATAAAATTTGATGATAACATTTTTGATGCAGTTCGTTTATATTAACAAAAGCCAGTAGACTTTCCGTTTCAGATCGCAAATTGATTATCAATCCGAATTTGAATGATAGTCTATGGTTGGAACTAAGATACGGTGCAAAAAAATCATAAAACATAAAAACATAAGCGCAGAAACATTTGAAGAATCAAATTGTAGAGATAGCGCTCAACACGGAAAAC